TCTGTGAGGAGTGACTGGTCCAAAGACAGACCTCCACAATTCAGTAATGAAGCTGCACGGACAATGTAAGAAAACTGAACTTTAAAACTGTAAATAATTTCCCAGTTACATTAGAATTTGTGCGAATCTGTTTTATGTGTTAGAATTTAGGCTACAATGTATAGATGTTTTTAAATTGACAAACGTTATTCATTTGCCCTACTTCACTCTGAATGCCTCTGCAGCTGCAGCCCGTTCTCACTCCTGAGGCGTAATATAGCGATGATTTGTCAAGACCCGAACGCGATGCTTCATGCTGGGTTATGGATGAAATCCAGCAGAATGATGCTCCCGCGGCAATACATATTCCAGCCATGTATTCCAGCCCTAAACATAACTTTATCCCTAATTTTGACCAGCACTTGAATGACGTTAGAGTGTTTTCCAAAGCGATTTCAGTGAAACGAACGTACATGTGTAGATTCATTCCACACGGTTCTCATGTTTCCTCATTTTTCTGATCTCGTAATATAGGGACGTGTTGGGCGCCTGGAAGCGTAATATACTGACAACTTGTCACTTAGCGTAAAATTTTACGAGAATGTGTTGGCCTTTGATCAGTCACCTAGAAAATCTGTAATCTAATCTAAGAGAACTAGGAAACGATCACATGATCTGTAGCAGCTGCAATGAGTGTGTTGAGAACTGCTTTAAAGAATTTCATCAGAGAATTTATGAGCGACTGATGGGATATGATCAGAAATGTATTTGTGTTTGCAGAGGTCAGAGGTCACAGTCTCCAACATCCAGCTGTGTATCTGTGAGGAGTGACTGGTCCAAAGACAGACCTCCACAATTCAGTGATGAACCTGGACCAACAACGTAAGAAAACTCAGTTTCAGTGTTTAAATGTTGTTTATGAATAAGGTATTCTATAACTGACATAAATTATTTGTAAACAGTCATTGCTCTTAAAATTGGAATAATTGCTTCTTTTTTTGCATAACTTCTACTATTGCACAGTTGTTAGTGAATATCCCTGAGGATGTGGGTTTCAACGTTCTGGTTCTTAGACAATATGTGTTTACTTTCTTCTGACAGAGATGCCTTACTCAGCCGTCCCCCAACTCCAAGCACGCCATCTTCTTGGCATGAATCCAGTTTGTAAATAGAGTGTTTGTTCATGACAGTACATCTGTTTCCATGAAACACGGGTGTA